GGGATCTTTTAAGTTCAACTTATCATTTATACTTAAAAGTTTGCTGAAGTTCTACATAAAAGCAAAACACACATCTTCATGAGTGGCCCCTCTCCTTCCTTCAGCCTTTCTTCATACAATCATCTGAAAAATGTATTTTTAAAAACTTGTACATTTAGTTTAGAGTTTAGACAAAACAAAACAATCAGCCCGATTTGCAGTGATTTGTGAGTGTTTCGGGGCTCACATTATCTCCCATATGACTAAAGGATTTGTTCATGACGATTGTTCTGGATTGATATGAAAAGCTCATCAGCTGCTCATCAGGTAGATCTGCTGCACCTGTGAAGCAGAGCTCAGCTGTTGGTCATCAGCCTGACTGGGAGACTATATAAAGAGGGTTTTGAGTCTCAGCTCAGTTTGGGGGAATCAGAAGGTTCAGCACCATCAGCTGGCCTTCTTGGGGGAAATATTGAGTTTGAGTGTCTGAATGTGTGAATTAAGTTTTTGTTTCTTTTTCCACCCCTTGCAAAACTCGTGACGCCCACTTAAGTTGTGTTTTGGGTCAGTAGTTCTGTCCTTCTTGATAAATTCAGTGGGCGGTAGTTGGGACAAATCTCTCACCTTTTAGAAAACCAGCACCCATTTTGACCCTTATCCCCATGTTGAGGGTGCACTTATGTCAGTTTCCATTTACAACCTCAGATCTTGTGTGGCGTTCTGGGGAGAATAACAACAAATAGATGGTCTGATCTGTTTTCTCAGTCGTTGAGTTTAAGGCAAACAGGAAAATAATGAGGTCAAGAGATAAAAGGGGAGAGTCAAACATCTTTTATTTTTCTTACCAAAATCATATAAAAAGAAAAAATGAGCAGTTGAATATATTTTCCTAATACCAGGTCTGTTCATGCATGCTCAACTCATACCATACAATCTTACATAAAAGTCTGCAGTGATGCACGCAGGCCACAGTGGACGCAACCTGAATATATATCAGCAGAAACCTCACAATGCTTGAGACCAAAGGTTGGACAGGTAGACATGGCAAGAGTCTAAAAACAGAGCTTCAAAGAAAACCAAATACAGACTGTGACTGTATACAGAACATTTAAACACAGTGTAAAAGCAAATCCTCCATATTGACCAGATCTAGTTATCTATAGGAATGTGATGATGTGTGATACATGACAAACTGCTCAAATGATTAAAATATTTAGTCTGAACGAAGCCTCATTAATTCACTTTATGATGAAATATGCAGATATGTGCTCTTAGCCTATCTCGTAAACATGCATACATTTGTTTTCTGGTACATCAACATAGTGCAAAAGTGACACTCAAAATCTGATGTTTTCCTCCTATAATAATTAATGTACAATTAAAAACACTCAGAATGACACTTCAGATGACCATGAAGCTGCAAACCGTACCCAAAACCATACACTTCATGTCAGTGGTGTGTTCAGTGCACCAGTAACATCACCCTTCACATGACTAGTGCTGCTAATGCACAGCAGAGATGACCAGAGGGTCGACGTTTTTCCCGTTTTGTTGAAGATGTGGACTGAAATAGGGGAAGATTGGCTCTCTGAACGAACACTCTGTAAACGAGTAGATGTGAGACTGAGTCGTCACATCGTAGAAGGACACCAGGCCTTCCTCGTAATCTACAAACACGCCCACTTTTTGCGGCTCCTCCTTCAGGGGAAGGCTGATAGGTGGCGCTGTCAGGGCTGCGTACTTTTTGTTTTCGTAATGCACAGTAACCCAGTAACCGTTTTCTGGGTTCAGCGTGAGTTTGCCTTTGCGGTTGGCGTCGCCCCTCGCTACACCCAGATCCCAGCCGGTCTTGTTGGCGACCTCCACCTCCCAGTAGGACCTTCCGGAGGTGAAGCCATTGAGCCCCAGAATGCTGCCGAAGCTGTCGAACCTCCCCGGAGCGTCGGGAAGTTTGGGCGTCTGTCCGCCATCTCGCACTTTCTTCCCATCAGCAGAAAGAACGAGGCACTGATGTGCAGTGTTTGGGTCCAGCTTTACATCCACTGCAGTTAAACAGAGTACAGATACATTAAATAAACAGATCAAGGTTCAGCACTAATGCAGTAAGTGCACGCATAGAAAGAATAATAAAGCTAATGGACACTCTGTGATACTCCACATACAGCGTGTGGAAACTGTCTATGATGCCATAAGTAGAAACCAGGTACGATGCTGGTGAACTACTGCGTTAGCTAACTTGCAAATAACTTTGCTTTGTTGCTGCCTGGACAATAAATTAACAGTTAATATACTGCATTTGAAAAACTGTTTCTCATGTCTTTGGATGGCGCTGCATCTTGGTAGCAACACCTTTAAAGCATTAATCGTCTATTTAAATCCAAATAAGAATCAAAACATCTTGCTGTATTGAATAAGACTTGAAAGTAGCAATGTAGACCACAAATGTATTTGCAAAATATTACATCAAGCAGCAAATCAAGTGAGACTTGGGCTAATTTTATCTTAGATTTCTATAAAACCAGGTTTCTTTTTGCCACCGGAGTAATTGCCACCTGCTGGTCACAACAAAGAACACAAGTTTAGTCCACATTGGTTGAGTTTTAGACTCAGAGGCTACGTCCGTCTTTTACATACAGTCTATGGACACAGCTAATTATGATTCAAACGTCAAAAATCACAGAATACGAAATCTTAAGATGGTTTTTGTTTAATTAAAATTAATAGTTTTTTGTCTTATTATAATCATACGGAGCCCCGGAAGGGACATGGAGAAAGGAAGGACAAAAAACACAGGTATCTAGCAAAACTTCCTTGTTATCTCTCAATAACTTTGTGAGATCTCGGAAAACTATAGGTAACTCCAGTCCAGTAGGTGGTGGTAATGCACCTGAATGTTGGATGCCAACCAGCAAATCAATAGAAGAAGAAAACTCGCTGGTATACTTCTGGGTCTTTCTGGCAATATGAAGGACACCCAACCACACAAGAGTTTTGAGTTTTAATTTGAAGTCATCCTAAAATATAAAGACATTCGAGCCGTGTTTAGCAAGAGGCACCGTTTTCACAAAACATCCAATAAGTTTGATGTGACTTTTGCGAGATCTCACCAAAGTTTTTACAAGACCCCAAGAAAATTTTGCGAGATCCGGCAAAAGATGCCTCTAATTTTTTTTCCCCCCCTTTCTCCCTGTTTTCTTTTCCTTTCTTCAAGTCCCTTCCGGGGTTCTGTATAATAACACAGCTTCTATTTGACACTGATTTATAAAACCTGCAGTCAACTGAATGGTTATGTAGTCAGTCAGTGTATTTTGTGTGCACATTTCAAACTAAATGTTGTAAGTTGTTTTCAACATTAAATTCAGATCGAAGACAAGATCGAACCAAAGTGATAACTTGTGTCACAGCGTTTCATCATCTCCACCAGTTATCAGCATCAACATCTGCTCATACCTCCTGAGTCTTAGTAAATGGGGTTTAAGCTTTGAGATACACACCTGCAAATGCTGGAATCCTCTTGAGTTCTAAGGAAACAGAAATGTAATCAAATCAGCATTCAGTAAATTGAAAAGCGACAGGTCTTGATCACTTTGAATACAAACTGTGATAAACATACGGACTCACCAACGGAGGAGAGGTTTTCCAGCTTCTCCTGAATCTCTTTCATCATGCCAGAGGTTGTGGTTCTCAGGGTCCCAAAGGAGAACGAAGTGTCAACGCTTGCATTTTTCCAAGACTTATTCAGGTCCGTTAGAGGAGAAACCTGCGCGTGTACGGGAGGAAAATGTTGTTTTCGATGTGCAACTTTACTGAATCAGAAATAAAACAGGATGTTGGATCCCTGAGACTCACCTGAGAGTCTGGTGTTTTGTCCAACTCATCGATGCTCTTTTTGAGCACATCAATTTCTCTCTGCAGCTTCTGGATCAGATCTTGTGCTTCTTTCTTCACCTCCTGCCTCCTAAAAATAACAAAGTGCATGAGACCACATGCACAGCACCATACCTGCTAAAATGATCCCTAACCGATGTTACGTTCCTGTCATCTGATCAACCTGCAGGGTGACTACACTTCTAAATCCTTGTTCTAACTGTTACTGAGCCACACAGGACCGACCTCTCCTCCACAGGCTGAAGGGCTTTCTGCCGAGCGTCCTCCACGACCTTCATCACCTCTGAGAACACGCTGTTGATCTCCAGCCACTCAGCATCCAAACTGACCTGAAAACAGCGAAGGCGAGTGGAGATGTTAAAGAAACATCAGAACCAAAGTCAAAAGCTCAAAGCTCCGCTGCAGCGTACCTTGCAGGCTGTTACGGATGATCGGACTTCTTCCACCTTGTGCTCTCTGGTGTGAATTTTCTGCTGTAAATCTGCCCTCATCATGTCCTGCTTTGCCTTTAAAAACAAGAAAAGGTACCAATAACATGCCCAGTAGAGTTTAACACAGATTTAAAGTTTACAGCCATGCTAGCAGCTCTGTTAGCTGTTAGAATTTGGTTTAAACCAAAGAATAGTACACATTTCAGAATTGACTGGCACCAAATATCATGTTAATGCATCCAATAGTTGTTGGTACATTCAGATTAGAAACCACACATGTTGCAGCGCATTCAATAATTGTACCTCTCAGGTGTTTGTTGGTGAATTTAGACATACGAATCACAATCAACTATGTCCATGGACTTTATATAAAAGATGAAAGCAACCTCCAGGTCTGCAAACTCTAGATTGCCTTACACCTGCAAGCCAGCAGGGGGCGACTCCTCTGATTGCAAAAAAGTTAAGCTGTGTAGAAATCTATGAGAAAATGACCCTGCTTCTCCTTTAAACAGTTACCTCGATAAATATCTTCCCAGTAAATTTATGGTCTCAGATGCTAGTTTCAAGATTTTTCAAAGACAACACGGTGTTCATTTTTAAATTATGGTCCCACAATCAGAGTGACTTTGATGATAAAGCAGGGTAGGTTTAAAGGCAGGGCTGCCTTGTGATTGGCTGATTGCTACTGTGTCGGTGTGCATTGGTTTCTCGAGTTCAGAGTCACATCAAATGCAAATGAGTGGCGTCATGGTGACTAAGCTCATCTTCTACATACAGTCTATGGGGCCAAACAACATAGCAATGAACCCAAAAACGTGTACTGCAACCCCAACACCAAGCTGCTACTTGTTGGTAAAAGCGCACTGTTTTATGAAAACTTGATTGTATTACCTTTTGCAGTTTTTGAGCCTCCCTCTCTCTTTCTTTCTCCCTTTCTTTTTCCATTTCTTTCTCCTTTGAATCGGTCACTGTTTCCTGGGCGGTGCTTGTTGGAACCTCCCAGAGATTCTCCGCCTAAAAGATAAAACCATTAACACCCATATACAGCAACGTAATCCTGAACCCTAGTTTATAGGCAAGATCAAGTGGATCTATTATGAGAAAATAGCGATATGATTGGAAGAAGCAGGTACAAATGAGGTGCATACAGGTCAGTCTGGATGACTGCATTGAAAGAAGACATCTGCAGTACCTGCTGTGCACCGGTGGAGAAGTCAAGAGCTCGACAAGCTTTGTGCGAGCTGGTGGTGGTCTGATGAGCATGTGGTGGAGTCTCAAAAACTGTAGAGGAAAAGAAAATTACTGACAAGCATAGCTGCCTTGAAATGTTTCTGTATGTCGTTGTGTTCCTTTTGAATGAATGACAGATGGAAGGTATAATGCATACGTGAGGTGTGTGT